CAACAAACATCATTTGCTGCCGTTTAATCTTAATGCGGTTTTCTGGCTCTCTAAGCCGTAAAAGAACGTAGCAGCTAAGACATGTTACTGACTTTAGGTGTGATGCGTTTCTATGTGTCTGTTTGACGCATGCTCTAATGTTTCCTTTCTTTTTCTGCAGGGTCGCCGCTGCGGCTCCCAGTCGTCCTGCTGTCTGTCCAGGTGGAGGGCTTCGGTGGAACAAGTGTTTCTCTGGATGTGGACCCTTGTTGGCTGTTCTTACTTTCTGTGGTGAGCTGGCTGAAGGGCGTTGCTTGCTCGCTACGTGGCTTGTCTGTCCCTTCAGGACGCCCCCCGGACAACGCTCGCGTACCTGCCTGCTGCCACTGCAGAGCTTCAGTCTGATGCGCCTTCAGCGTGGCGTGGGGCTATGGGGCCCAGGCCTCACGCCTAGGACGGAGCTGTGCGTGGGGAGGTGGGCCCTTCAGGGCGGTGGGCGCGCCCCCTCGGGCAAATATCACTGCGGTTCAAGTTTTTGAAAAGAACTCCACGAGGCGACGTGTCCGGTGCGATGCGAGATCCGCCGAGCCCCGGCCAGCGGGCCGTTTGCGCTTTACTTGTGTCTTACGGGAAACTTGCTCGGCACGACGCTCAAAGCCTTTCTAGTTCCAGGCACACCAACTCCAGGAAGCACCGGACGTGGCTACGCACGCGGACCACCAGGGTCATCAGGTCGCAGGACATCACCATCACCGCCACCACAACCACCACCCGAGCAGTGCTGCAGACGCAGGACGCTCTCGATCAGCGCGCATAGGACGCGGCGCTCAAGCTAACACGGTACACATGCTTGTCTGTTCACCCTACATGGAAATTAACTCTTTCTACTTGACGCTTGTATTAATCTTGTTTTTGTATGTTCAGGTTCGCCGCTCCCGGCCGCCTGTTCTAGGCCCGGGTAACTGTCCAGAGGAGGCAGCGGACACGGCGCGCTTCGGCCACAGGAGGTGAGCAATGTCGCATTTAGAACTTCATTCATTCCTATGTCAACGTCCTCCCCATAGGTTTTGTTTATTTCTAAAGTTTGCTTCGCATCTAACGCGTTCCCGTCTCTTCTCGCAGATCCGTAGTACCGGGACGTGGCTACGCGGGCGACCAGGATCACGTCGCGCGCGGCTCCACCAGCAACAGCCACGTCGCAGTCACCGTGGGACTTCCCCCACCATAGCCGGAGGAGCGCCCCAGGACCCCGCGGCCGGGACACTCACGAGCGCAGAGGACAAGACTGCGTTGTTGGGGCGCGTTGTACAGCCGGACACGGTACGTGTTCCACCATCCGACCTACAAATGCACTCTTTCCATCTGACGCTTGCATTGATCGTCTGTTTGTTTGGTATGCCCAGGTTCGCCGCTGCGAGGCGCCCGGTCCAGGCTTTGGTAACGAGGGGCTTTGTCGGCAAACGAGTATTTCTACGGATGTCCAGCTTCGTGGTTGTCCTGCTTGCTGCCGTGTGAGCTGGCTGTGTGCCGCCGTGCCCCGACGGTGCGCTCGTCTATCCCTTCAGGCGCTCAGGGCCGGCCCTTAGTGTGACGAGCGTCTCGTACCCGCCCTCCAGCGCCACCGCTGCTGCCCCGCACCTTCAGTGCAGGTGGGCGAGCCGGCTTGCTCACCAGGGGCGGCGGTTGGTACGTGGAGTCGGCGGGGGTGGCTGGCGTGTTCACGGGCAAATATCGCATATGGTGGTCAAGTTTTTAAAATGGACGCACGTTCGAGGCACGACGTCCGGCTGAAATAGGAGTTCGTCAATAACGCCTCTCCCTTGAAAGTT